TTAGGGCTGGATGAACATTTTATCGGGCTTTACTAAGCTGTGCAAGGAGCTGCCAGTGTTGTTAATTGGGGGTCACGTTGTGGTTCAGATTTTGCCCTCTGCAATTTCTTATTTTGCCTTCATCCCTACCAAGTATTTTTTTTTCTATATTTTTCTTGGTAATTTTTCCTTGTTTCCCTGTTCATGTGTTTGTGTTTTATAGTGTGTAACTGTGCATTTAATATTTATGCATATGTGAATATTATAATTGCATTATCAAATGTCATATTTATGTTCATGTTTAGTCTTTTTAAAAGTATGACATATTTTAATGGAAGTACACGTATGGCTTAATGGTTAGACCGACCTCACAGAAGACCCGCTGTGTATGAATATATCCGAGTCCCTTTTGATAGGCTTTGAAGGAGCTGAGTGAGTTTTGTAGCTTGATTTGATTAGACAATGCATTTTTTAGTTTTTATATGCTTTAATTAGGAAAAAAGAGATATTTGGCTGGTTGTGAGTGAGGAAGATCAACATTTCTCCTTTGGGCTTGCTAATTACTGCAGAATAATAGAATATATGTTTTGTTGATTACGGTAAGAGTTAAGACTTTATGCGAAGAATCTTTTTAGTATTCGAGTGGCTGAACGAAACTTGCTGCAATAGAATAGTGGTTTGAAGTGCATGTTGCGTACAGCTGATGCAAACTCAACTCGAAATTGGAAAGTATTTGGATGGGTTGGTATAATATATATATGATTTATTTTCAAGAAAATGTGCATTGTCATTTGTCATTGTTATACTTGTCAGTTGAGATGTATTTCTTATTTAGGCATTGTATGAACATGTCATATCATTTATTTTATTTTATTATATTTTTTATATTTTATAATGATCAGGAGATACAAATTGGGAGGGAACTATAATAGAAATGGTATTAGCTTCTGTGTTTTGGATAAAACCTTTTTCCTATCAATGTATATATCGGGGCATTGATTTTCATATACATTAGTTATTAAATTTGGGATTTGAATGTTGTGTGAGGAGTTCTGGTGAAGTAAATTTTCGCTTTTGAGTGTGCTTTATTGTTCTTCGAAATACACCTGCCAAATGCTATTTTATTGTAGAAAATAAAAAATCACCCAGATTTTTTTTCACGGAGTTCTTTCAGGCTTCTTAGTTGGTATAAAGCAGATAATCCCGATCAAGTCATCAAGAGCTTTCTTTAGTGAAGCTAAATGCAAAACTATGCATTTTTTTTTTGGAAGTTTTATTTGGTTCAAAATATTCAACATTATTCCGTACTGATATAAAGCCCGCAATCTATTAATATTATTTATTTTTTTAATAGGGGCTTCATTGCCCGGTTCAGACCCTGTTGAAGCATCTGAAAGGAGGTAAATACATTACATATAGTTTCAAGGGTATGTCTATAATCAGAAAAAAGTTTTTTATTTCTTTAGAGGCTTATTTGAAGATTTCAAGTAAAGGGGAGTATTATATAAACCGAATAGTTGATAAACTACTACAGAACCAAACAAGGAAAGGAGATGAAGGAAGCAAATTGTGACAAATCTAGATTAGCAAAAGGTGTTGATGTGTATTAAAGAAATAAATAAAACCAATATATCGAGATTAATGTGAAATGTTAATGCTTTGGTTTTGCCGACTATTCGCAGGGAAGGAATGCATAAAGAGATGCAGCCGAAAATGCTTAGAACTTAGAAGCTTTCGACAAGGTGATTTTGTATGCACACTTATTAGATATGCATCTCTTTTCTTGACACGCTTGTTCTAATTTTGATCGATACGTGTTTTACTCGTTTATGTTTGGTTATGGACCTCTCATAACTGCTGGTTTTATTGGCTGAACTTGTCAAATTTTTGAAAAGTATTTAGGAAGAGAAGTAAATTTCCAATTTAGAACTTGCCAACTTGGGGAATGTATCAACCCTTTGTTTTCTTCTGATTGTTTTTTTAAAAGAAAGAACAGAGAAAAAAAAGGTCATCTGATTTAATGGAATAGAGCCCTGAACTACTAGGAATTTGCATTAAAGAAAGTTCATCAATATTCTTTCTTTGTTTCTTTGATTGTATGCTAGAAATAAATGGATAAATAGTTACAATAATATATCCTCCAAAGAGTTTCCCTATGCATCAATTTATGTGCTTCGTAATTCTGTGCGTTTATATATTTCCTTCGGAATAGTATGCGGTGCTTGCTTGTTTTCTGGTGTTTCTGAATCCTACGTGTCGGTTTTTATCATATAGATTTGAATTGAATCAATGCTTATTAGAATTTTTCAAATTATACAACACTAAATCAACTTAAATCATAAATATATTTTAAAAATTAATAAATTTCTTATTTGTTATCAAATATATATATATGTATATATTTATAATCAAAGTAATGTATCAATCAAGTCAAGTATGTAAATATAAATTAGAAAAAATATAATATAGGAGGAAGATATTAAACGAGTGTTATTTTAAATATAAACAATTATGTATTTAAAAAAAAATCCTCTTTTTTTTTTTATAAAAAAAAAAGAATAAATTTGGTATTAGGAGTTTTGTACTCTACTCGTGATATTTAACTGAAAAGTAGTAACTACTAGATTTAGACTATTTAGATGCACTTGAATCTCTTTACACAGTCAAACCCAAATCTAATGAGACTTTTGCAGCAGAAAATAAGTACCAAAACCAAGATAGAAGGCAGGATTGATTACCTGGGCCTACCATGTTGGAGGCCCAATTATTAGGACAGATAGTGGGGCCCGTGAAAGATAAAATATGAACAGGCTTGTAGCATATGTTTTAATTAATGCAATGGTAAAAGATAAATAAAATAATGTTGTCATAATTAAGAAAGGAAAAAAAAAGAAAAACAAGGAAGAAAAAACAAATCGAAAAATGAACTTTGTGCTAATCCAATTCTTTTGGGAACTAAACAGATCTATGAGAGCATTGTACTGTTAAAAAATTCCCTCCTAAATTTATGAGTTGACACGAAAGTATAGATACATACTATCCTCTAGACTCTAGAGCTATTAAATAAAACGAGTTACTTGTAAACTCAACTCTCCTCGACTCATTTGATAAATGAACCAAGTTCAAGCTTATTGACTCATTAGGGTTAAAACAATTAAGAGTTTTTACGTACTTTTGTGAACTTTTATCATAACAAGTTTGACCCAAAATTACTTACTAAAACTAAAAAATCCAGTAACCTCTTTCAATTTGTATAAATTATGCTGGTTGAATTTGGCTTGCTATGCTCATTAATCTATATATAATTGATGGCAAGTTTCATTAAATTTTATTTAGCCAGCAATTAATAATATAGTAGTTTATTTAATAAAAATAGGTGTTCATTTAATAAAAATATGTTTGCCATTTAATAAAAATATGTAACTTTCAGTTACACTATTTATTTTGACATATTCTATTTTAGATGGTGCCATTTTTGTAACGCTTTTTATGTCCTGAAATACAAAATATTTTTGTTTTTATTTTGATGCTATATATATTTTGGTATTATATAAACACATGTTTCACAATTAGTTAAGAATGACTACAAATATCTCTATTTTCTATTGCAGTCATACAATAATAAAAAATAATAATTTTTTGGATCTTACAAAGATTTATAAAATGTTTTAAAAAATCAAATCCCACGAAATAAATCCCTCCTCCAAAATGGTCCTGAAATATATTTAAAAAGTTTAATATTATATGCATAAATTTAACTTATAATAGTCTATATGTAAAATTTAATATCATTATCTAACTTATAATTTTAATATTACACACATATAAATAACTTTTATTATTTTATTTATAATTGTGCAAATGCACAAGATCGAGTACTAGTTTTGACAAATGTGTTGGACTTGAAGTTGTTTATCCACTTGTTCAATGAACGAGTGAAGCTTGGATTGTCTCGATAGAACGCTCGAACCCGAGCTCGAGTATTAGAAACTCAAACTCGGTTCGGTCGGTATAGCTTTGTTACATAGATAGACTGATAGTACCGTCTTTCTTTTTTTTTTTTTTTTCTTTTTTTTTTTTTTTTTCTTTTTCCAATTTCCCCCATTCTATCCTTTCAACTTTTAGAATTAAATAAACCATAACCTACATTTCCTTATGGAATTTATGATTTTTTTACATAGTTCTAACCACCGATCATTTAATAATTATTGTGCTATTTATCATATTCCGTACAACAATATGAATAAATAAAAGTATGACATTTCACGATATATATATATATATTTATATATAAATTATATGATTGTCTAACATTTATATTTGCAGTCATATCGAAGTTTATGTGACTTATGAATACATTCATCATTCTTTCTATATTTATTTTCTTCATTGCTCGTGGAAATGTAGGCTGCTTGCTTCTTGTGGATTTTTCATTTTTTTTTTTCTTTTTTCTCAATGAAAAGTCATCACTTCTTGGATGGAGACAGTTTGTTGCACGAAGTGGTGCTGTGGTGAAAAATTAGATAGCATATAATGAAAAATCATGGTTTAATTTGGGGAAGAAAAATGAATATTGTGATATTGTTGTACCAAATGTGAATGTTTTCATTTTTTGTGAGTCAATGAGCTCAAGGGTAAAAGCTTTGATGATATTTTGTCAGTCAGTCAATGAGCAGAAGGACCATAGTATTGGTGTCAAAGGGTGTTGTTACTTGTTAGGGAAGTTAGTGTTAGGTTGGCTAATTATATTTTTTAAAATAGAATTACATTGAAATATTTTTTTTTAAAAAAGTAATTGTGTCTTATGGTCTACCAAAAAGATAAAAAATAATATTAGTAATAATTTTTTATATTCATAATATCAGTTTTATAATCTGTTAAAAAAGGTCAATGTAAATTATTTTTTCCTAAACAATTACCAATGTTATTGTGGGTTACCACGTACAGGACTGGTTTATTGAATAAAAGGCAAAAATGTTATTACTTACATAGCAAAACAAAGATTATATTTGGGTTATGAGAAAGAAAAAAATATTACTCATATAGCAAAGTTTACAAAAAAAATTGTATTATAAATTATTGACTCCTAAAAAAAATATTACAATATTACATAAATCAAATGAACATAGGTTAGTGTTTATTTTCTTCTACAAAGAAATAAATAAATAAAAAGAAAAAGAAAAAAGTAATAATCAAATCACAATAAAAAAAAAGGAAAGGAAAAAGAAAAAAAGAGAAAAGAAACACAAAACCACAAAAGTAGAGTCTATAGAGAAGCCCTATTGCACTTTCTCTCTCCTCCCTCTAATCTCTCTGCCCCTTTTTCCTCTCTCTTATCACTTCACTTCCGCCCAGATTTTCATTCCTTTCTTTCTCTCTTCTTCCACACACCCACGAAAAACATAGATAAATTATTCCCTTCTCATATTTCTTTGGTTTTTGAACGAAACCCTAAACGCAATCATAGATTTAGGACGCATCGTGTATTGCTTCTGTACAGAAAGGGCTGTCTTGGATGAGATTGAGGCACGGCGGCGCACGGAAGAGGAAGAAACAGCAGCGAGTTTAGAGGAGAAAGCAGTATTTGATGCCTCCGGAGCAGTTGCCTTGGGATCGAAGGGATTTCCGGAAGCACGACAGATCCGGCTCCGACCGGCGCTTTACCGGCGGAGGAGGAGGAAGGGGAGGATTCGGAGGCGGGGACCATAGGTGGCGGGAGCAGCACCACAATCCGCACGCGCCGCCGCATCCGCCGCCTTATCACCACCACCGGAACCACCCGCAGCAGCAGCGTTGGTATTCGGATTTCCGCTCTTCTCGGCCTATCCCGCCTGGTGAGTAATCGATTGAAAACTTAATCTCGTTTTT